GGGGGGGTGGGAGGGAGGTGAGGGGTTGCAGAGGGTTCGCAGCACCCCTCAAGCCTACGAAGTGCCCTTTTATGTAACATGTAACACATTAATCATGCGTAAATGTTCATAAAAAACGCGAAAAGTACCAACGTATAAGACGCTTTAAGCTAGATGCAAAGGCCTTTTAGTTGGGTTCTGCCGTTTTTGACCCAGCATCCTTTAATATTGAACTTTTACGGAATAAAATAAAATCACTCTAATCAGGAGTAGCCGTTGTGCCTGGTCTAGCCTGCTGGTCGGTAATTAATCATTTTTAAGCATTTATTTCAATTAGGCGCGGGCAGATAAATCTAAGGCCCGTCGGGCAAGGTCAAAAGTATTGGGGAGGGGGGGGGCTAAAACGCCCGACATATGTTTTAGTAACAGACCTAAATTTTCAGGTTAGTGTTCAATACACAGTAGTACAACAAAATTGTTTGGTTGGGGGTGGGGGGCACGCCTACTATTGACAGACTCTTGACAGTGTATTACGTATCACCTTACCACCACAGGTAGCAGGAGAAAGAATTACACAAATGAAATGGTTTTTTCACTGCCTGTCGCCCGCATTTCATGACCTTAGCTTATGACTAGCATAATTTTGTAATTTCCAGTTATCAAGATATCCAACATTGCACGACCGAGTCCGAAACAGCAGCCTGACCAAGCTTACCAACATTATAATTCCCGCTCTTTTCGTTGCCATAGCGATACCTCTAAATTCAAAATGGCGGAACCCTCTGGAAAAAAACGTAGCACCAGTCTATGAGATCCTGTTTTAAGTGATATAGGCGTTTTATCGGCTCAAAAAAACATCTGATGATGGATAACAATATAAGAAATCTTATCCACGTTGCTTTAGAAGAAAATAACTTTAATTCGTTAAATGAAGCATATTCAAAACTGAAGAAGGAGCGCCAGTCGCCAAGCGACAAGATCGATGCAGTGTCACCAGATCTCTTCACTCTTTGCGCTGAAACGGCATTTAAAGTAAGTACTTAGTGTCTAGGTAAGTATTTTAATTGCTTTTAGTGATGGAAACTTCTATTATTCTAGCATGCAATACTAAAAGGCTACGATAATTTATACCTCAAAGTTAAGCTTACTCTGTTGGGTTGTGTCGTTTTGTTGACATCAGTTGACACGACACTGGCGATTTTGAACAAAGACCTAAGTTCAATTTTATCCTTATTATTGTGTAATTACATTCGATATGCTTTTTTAGCTTGGTCTACGAGATATGGCAGAAGACTGTATCAAGATGTTTTTTATGAAGACACCTCCATCTAACCAGTTTTTATGTAGAACTTATCTTTGTCAAGCGCAGCTCAGTGTTCCAACATCTCCAAAGAAAGCTGTGAGTAAAGTAGCTCTACTTTTTTTAAACAGATTTTGACATCACCCCGTCATGATGAAACTTAACCCATCGACATTTATTTTTTTGTATGGCACTCCTAAAAATATCATCCTGTGCAAAATGTCATATTTGTAAGAAGAGTTTTAAAGACCAAATGTTAACCTTACTCTTATGCACTGGAAGGTAATAAGCTTGCTGTGCAATACAAAGTCTCAGTTTCTCCATACAAATCTTAGCAATTTATTCTATTGATGGGTTGCAAGCATTCCCAAGAGAGTCAAAAGACAAAAACATGGCGGCCATTGTGGTGCCGTTAACAATGGATGCTTATGAGAAATCTTTTGTTAAATGGCACCAACATGGCTGCAATGACGTAATGTGCAATCAAAGAATATTCTGTATATTACATTAGGCTCTGTTTAAACGGTTGCGGACAAATTTTTTTCACCAATGAAATGAATCAAAAATTTGACTAGTGCATACCATTTACATGCAACCATGAGTATCTTCTGTTATACGTAACCARATCAATATAATGTTATTGGTTTCCCATCTGATCATGTGCAAAGCTTACTTAATCCCATGGCTTGCCATGCAAAGATCTATCTGGACAAGGTGTTTACATGCTACCTGTCATTTCTTTATCCACAGAAGTCAAAAATTTGATCTTGCTTTTACTGGTCCCAAATTTGAATGGCTAGGCATATGAATTTTTGTTGGGATAGCACAATTCTGTGTGAATGGAAAATCTGAAGCTACTTGTTTTTGACTGGTTAAAAATGTCCAGTACCATGTATTGAAACTTTGTCATCATTATCTTGTAGCATGCAGTCTCAAAGATTTTGTTACAATTGCCATCCTTTGAATAATGCTGCATATTAATTAAGTTATATGCAGTGATTAATATTTTAGCTAGGTCCCTCCCATCCCCTCCCCCATCCCCTCCCCTCTTTCCACAGTGCCTCTATACAGGCTATATTTTAGCCTAATGATTAGGGGTGGTTAAGTGATGTTCATGTGAAACCGTGATCACATTTWAAAAAAATTTCTGTGTAAATCTGCAATGACTTTTTTCCATGATTCTATCTAAAACATTCTCAAATTCATGAAACAAGATACTTAATTAAATTAATATTGAACTTTAATCARCCTTAATTTTTGATCGCCGTGAACTGTGACAACCCAATACTGCCCCTAAACAATCTAAATACACATTAGAGTTTTTCAATTCATTGTTATAAATCTTGGTTGGATACTTTGCTTCAAAAATGCTATTAATTGTTGATTATTGCGTAGTCAAGCATTAATCTTAAGTTTGATAATGTTAATAGGAGCAGCTGGACAAAGCTGTTGATTACATTCTAAAAGCAATCAACTTTGCTAGAAAAAATCCAAGGTAAGATTACAGCCTTTCTCAATCACGCTCGCCCTCTAGCGATTGTTTTTGTCRTGACAAAATAAGGTTTTGATGGACGTAAGCATTTTAACAATATTCCATAGGCATGTCCTCTTGAAAACTTTGTATTTTCTGACAATGTCATGGAAATGCTTGATTGATTGATGTCCACCAAAACCTACTTTTGTTGCAACAAACAATTGCTAGAGGGCGCGTGTGATCTAGAAAGGCTGTAATTGTAATGAGTTCAGACACTTATTATATAAGCATATCCTTGATTATAAGCACCACTGGTTATAGTACTGACCACATCATGGGTGGATCCAGGGGGGTGTCCTGTGATGCACTGTATACCTTCTAACACGGTAACTAAACTTATGCTTTTGTTGAAGTGATGCATARTATCTCTATATTATACCACAGGTAGCCCAAGTTCTGTGTGTCACATGATTCATAAGGCAATGTATGGAGATTTTTTAAACATCGTAATTCAAATATTTTGGAAATATTCCAAAAAATTTACAAACAAGCAAAAAAAAAAACAACGCCATGCAAGAAAGGTAAATTTTATTGAAATATTTCCATTGAATTATGGTGCTTAAAAAATTTCCATACATTGCCTTATAAATCATGTGACACACAGAGCTAGTGATTATACATTTGGGACCCCTAACCACCTTCCCCCCCCTTAAAGACCATTACTCACCAAATTGCATAATATAAACCCAGGTTCAAAAGTGGGATTCTAAGGCATAACCAGTGACCCAAGATCCAAGATAATTGTCAGGTTTTTTTTCTTTAAACTTTGCGTTTCATTTAATTATATTTTAATTTTCAGGTATTACTTTCTGGTATATAATGCATCAGTATTGTACTGGCAATTCTGTCGTCCTTTCCTCAAGCCCAGTTTTCGTCAGTACTTGGCAAGAAGTCTTCACCAGGTCGTTAAGGCTCTGGATGACATTGATGATAAAGATTATGACTGGAGAGCACAGCTGATGATGTATGTACTAGAATGTTGGGTTAGCTAGGGTAGGAGTTTTGTCATTAGGGTAGAAAAGGAATAAAGCATGCATGTCAGTTATTAATATATTGTTCGATCCCTAACCATCAGGGCCAAGTTGTACGAAGCCTGGATAGCGTTATCCAGCAGACAAATCCTTACAGTATGCAGTGGATAATCGGATGCTGTTTTCCAATAAATCCACTGGATAACATTTGTAGATTGGATAGCGCTATCCAGGTTTCTTACAACTGGGCCCAGTGCATTACAAACTATGGTAGGAAAATTTTTCAATAGCTTGCATTTATAGCTGCTTATTTTTTAATATTACAAATTTTTTTCTATTTAAGGAGTAAAACAGCACTAAATTTCAATTGTGGCATTCAAATAAACCCCATGGCATTGATCTTAATCAATTTTGCAAAATGGAAAAGTACACATTGCATGTTGGAGTATAAATAGCAAATCGATTAGGAAGTCAATTGAAATTAATTTTTCTTAATCAARTTGTTAAAATCTGCTAAACAAACTTAGTTACGTTAAACGTTCCTCTGAGAAAAATAAATTTGTTACACAGTCATCGCATCTGTTAATTTGTCATGTACGTTCATTATATCAATATTAATAAAATGAATATATACTTACAGAGCTCTTATAGAGTGTCATGTCGACGCTGGACGTAAAGAAGATGCAGTTCAAGTCAGCAATGCCACACTATCGTTCACCAAGAGTTATGTCCCTACTCTGTACACTACTGTACTGGGTTTGCAGGCAAGTAGAAGCATGACCAACTAGAAACACTCTTACATAGTTGGCCAATCATAATTGAATATTGATATTCTATATATTCTACTTATAACTACTTCTATATCTAATTAAATTCATCCTTAAATGAAATCATGAGTAGCAAAGTTTTCTGTTTCCTCTACCTTTTTGTGTTTTTTGTTGTTGCTTAGTTGAAACTTTTAGTTMAAAAATAATTGGGGTCAGTAACTAGGTCAGATTTTTTTACAACAGTGGAAATGAGCTAACTGGGAACCCTGTGGTGCATTTGGGAATGAAAAAAT